CTAGAGAGGAGCATTTTGCGAAATATTACACCATATACTCATTATATTTTACTAAACCTGTTAGTCTTAATTACTTAATGTACAGTATGTTTAAATTAATCTGTTATGAAACATGCTATGACAGCCATTGTGTAATTGAATATATATTTTAACAAATAGCTTAGAAATTGTATTATTTATAAGTTAATTTAAAAACTGCATTATGTGCAATTTACATGTTTGCATACAATTTTTATTTGTATTTTTTTAATTTATTATTATTATTTTTTTTAAGTTGAGTGTTGGTCATCTATTTAAAAATAAATAGCAATTAAATTTAAGTTTGGGTTAAGTTGTTAGGCCTAATTGTAACCTTATAATGTAAAAGGGCTCCCAGTTTTAAGCATAAGCTGAGGTAGATTTTTATCACTAAGAAAATTTAAACTATAACTGAATGTATTTAAAGAAAGAGCAACCTGTTCAGTAAACCATTAAAAAAAAAAAAAAAAAGTTTAGTTTTTCCCCCTGCTGTACTGAAATCATACCGAACCTGACGTTAAAACCGAGGTATGTACCGAATTGTCATATTTGTGTACCGTTACACCCCTATCACCTGCTGCTGTATTTTCTGTTTCTTTGTTATAGAATACTAAAACCTTATTTGTCAAATCTCTGTCGATCTCAAATGTGTCTGTCAGTGAGCGCTCACCTCTCGGGTGTCGTTCCCGTGTGGACTGTGGGCAGAGCTGCAGATTCTCCATTCCAGATCAGCGCCCAGATCAACTATCCCGTCGAGACTATTACATATCCTTTACATTTACGTGTGCTTTAGATATGTGTATTCAATACACAAAGAGAGCGGAACACAAATAAGCTAATTGAAGAACAATGGGGTCCAAAAAAGTTAAAATGTTTGAGATCAGTAAGATTTTTGAATGTTTTTAATGGAGTCTCTTATGCTCATCAAGGCTGCATTTATTTGATCAAAAATACAGAAAGAAACACTAATATTGTGAAATATTATTACAATTTAAAATAATGGTTTTCTATTTTAATATGCTTTGAAGTATAATTTATTTCTGTGATCAAAGCTGTATTTTCAGCATCATTACTCCAGTCTTCAGTGTCACATGATCTTCAGAAATCACTCTGCTGATTTATTATCAGTGTCGGAAACAGTTGTGCTGCTTCATATTTTTGTAGCATGTGATTTTTCAGGATTCTTTGACAAATAAAAAGTTTATTCAAAATAGAAATCTTTTCTAACAGTATACATTTGATATTGTTACAAAAGATTTGGATTTCAAATAAATTCTGTTCTTTTTTCCTTTATTTAATCAATAAAGAATCCTGAAAAAAAAGTATCACAGGTTAAAAAAAAAACAGCACAACTGTTTCCAACACTGGTAATAAATAAGCATATTAGAATGATCTCTTAAAGTGATCTGAACATGAGGGTAATTAAATTATGACAGAAATGTACAAATCCTTTTTTTGTAAAAGATTCTCTATTTGAGGGTATATAGTATGCTTCATGCTTGGTTACTAACATCAACCATCTGGTCTACAATAAAATCCTGATACCAAAAAAAGGGGAAAACGTTTCTTTCGGATGACATTGTTTTGACAGGAAATTGTATGCTTTTAATTTAGCCACATATTGGACACATGAAGTGACTTTGAGTTGCAGATGTCTCTTCCTGACTTCTGGGCATTATTCCTAGATGCTCCACTCATGTTTGATTTGATTAGCTCAAGTTTAATTTCCTTGACTGGTTTCTCTACCTATCGGCCGGGCTTCTGGGAAACGATCAAGTTTGCCTGGATTCAGTATGTCAGTGTCCTGCTCATCTTTCTCTGGGTTTTCCAGCACATTCAAACATTCGTCTTTCAAAACCAGGTTTTACCAACCACCACAGTACCGCCGTTTAAACAGCACAGCTCCTGACATTTTTACTGTTTTTGTGATTTTTTATTTATTGTTTAATTATCAGGACCTTCATTTGTTGTTGAAGACTAGTGTTTGCTAATGCGTTTTTCTATATACATAGTTTGTCTATATACATAGTCTTTGTTCAGTTCAAGTGCATTCATAAGGAATTCCCACCAGGATGCTTGTGGAGTCGCTGGTTTTTCTGGTTTTAAAGTACTTCGAGTTCTGCCGCATACTGCGCAAAATATTCCTTGCTGTGTTTAAAGACTGATAGAAGAAATACTTCAAGCCAAAACCTCAAACAAAGCATGTGATAAACTCAGGTTGTATGAAATGACCTCAAAGACCCCGTGCTGATGTTTTCAAATCCACAAAAAACATGAAAAGCCCTTGAGGTGTTTTTTTTGTTTTTTTTGCATTTCTGATTCCTCTTGGCGCATGAGTAACAGTTAAACGCATAATGCTCATCAACAAAGTTGAATTATTACACTTGATGTCTAATCAGTGCTGTGAGTCACTTATATTTCACAATATTACTTTTGGATATTTAGTTATAGTTTGGATATTTAATGTTGCCGTTTGACAATAAATAATGTGATAAACATCCTCTGGAAGATTATTGTCAGTGGTTAAGTGAAAGAAAACTTGTTGACTCAAACCAAACAAAAGCGCATCATATGTTTGCTTATGTTCCTCTTGTCTTCGTCTCAGTTGGCTCCACAGATACACTTTCACAAATGTTGTATATCTAATATTCTCTGTGCTAGCTGTTGTATTCTCCTCCACGTGCACCAATGAGATCAAGCACAGGAAGTCTGGCACAATGGACAGGATACAGATGCAATGCTTTCCTGTTTCATTCATCCTTGTTGCGAAAGCATAATGCCTTATGGAGCTCTTTCTGAATCAGTGAATTTACATTTATATCGTGCATGGATTTAATTGGTGTATATCCATTTTTAAGGAAAACCCGGATAAAGCTAGGTTAGTTGGATAACAATGTGTCTTTTCTAGTATACAGAAATGTACTACATCTTAAGTTAAAATTAAAATGACACCTATACCCGTTTTTAAATACGCTTGCTATTATTCCTAACACGAAGGAATAGGAGACGAAGCGTCCACTCTGAGAAGTTCATGTCATCTTGCAGAAGGCTGCTCACTGTGGAGCCCCGCCCACCGCCTGCCAATCACTCCTAAAGGCCACGTCTCAAAGCTTTTCACATCCAGAGTTTTACAGCAGAAGCCCTTCATCTCTGAATGCGAACGCATTACTGAGCAGGAGGTAAGGCACGCTTTAATAACATGCAGCGTCTGCTATAGAAATACAGTATCACATTAATGTTTGTATTTGTGGGGTGACTCTTAAAATGAGCTGTTTGTGACGGGAGTGTGTGTGTGTGTGTGTGACTTTTTCTAGAAGTCCCTAAAGAGGATGGTACTCAGATCTCAGAATGTAACAGGTTTGTGTTCTCAGGCGATTTGGACCTAACAAGGATATTATCTGAATACTCGTACAAACATTTGGTAGCTCAAACGATGAATTGTTGGTTTGGCTAATGTCTCAAAACTGTGTCAAAGCCAATGTCTCCGCGTTCTCTCTAAGCGTTTTGGGGAATAGGTGAGTTCAGCATTTTTGGGCATCGCCGTGCGCTCCGAGCGTTTCTGGAGTCATATGATGGTGTCTAGTAATGCTGTCTGTCTAGTCAGCTCACTAGGTTTGGGATCACACACACAACAAATTGTGTCGCGGCCTTTGAGCGAAACGTCACTTTTCAACATTTTTACTCAAATGTTTTAGGGCCTGTTTACACCTGGTCATTTCATGCGTTTTCGCTGATCGGGTATCTTAAATGATTCGTTAAAACGTTTCCATTTACACTTGGCCACATAAATGTGTCGTTGCAAAACCGATATAAATCCGATCTTCAATTCTGGCGCTATATTTAAATTTAACGGAGTTCACGTCAACGAAATCAAAAGATAGGCGCTGCATTTGATTAATTATCAGCTAATTTCAAGATCAAAGACCGCAATAGGAGAGCGCGCGGCATCAGCACTGGAAAGATAAGTTTGTCTTACTACTTTAATGAAGATTATTGTGTGTTGACCGTCTGCGTCTTTCATTCGGCTTGCTGAAGAGATACTCAGCTACTCGTCCGCAGCGATGCGTGTTGCGTTAGCGCAGTCCGACTAATGTCATATAGCCTATAACACGCTCCCACACGTTTATTATTTTAACATTTTGGGAGGAGTAACATTTACATATGTGGTTTCAACAACCAGAGGCATTTACACTTGTCCAGTTTCGTCTGGAATGCGTCCCAGACCACCTCCTGAAGTGGGTTGAGCGATCGGATTTATATCCGTCTCGAATGCATGTACACCTGGTCTTTTCACGATCTGATAGCTATCCGATCAGAAAAACGCATGAAGTGACCAGGTGTAAACAGGCCCTTAGGTACCAGATGGGTCAGCTTAAAGGAGCACACAAACGAAATCTGATCATATTACTAATTTATCACAACATTCCCCACCTGTTTCTCCGAGTCAGGTGTGCGACGGTCATAAAGCGACAGTTCACCAAGAAAACCCGGTCATTGCCAAGTCCCTCGTGATGATGCTTCAAAAGTATGATATACTTTTTATTTTTTTTGGTGAAACAATTATTTTTATTTACAATTTATTTTTGTCTCGTGCAATATCTTCAACGTTTTTTGTAACCATACAAAAGCTTTGTGAGAAACAACCCAAATTTAATACATGACAGATGAGAGCGAAAACGGTTTCAGTCGATAATTTTTTTGGTTTCTACCTCAAACAGAGCCATTATATTGCCTTTGAAAACTGAGAAAGTAGCCTACAAGTCGCATCGACCGATATTATGAATTCTGCTAAACGTTACGCTATTGTGTTTCACGGAAGAAATAAGGTATTGCAGGCTTCGCGTGTGAGTTTTAGGTGAACTGTCCCTTTAAAAATGTTTAAAAGCAGCATTTTTTCTGAGTGCTCTGGAGCGTTACCATTGTGCACATTGTGTTGTTTTCAGAGGGAAGTTTTCCGTTGGTACAGTGTACATTGCCTTTGCATTTCATTTAATATCTGTGCGTGTCTGGTCATAGACCTGTTGATTTGATGTGGATAACGCGACCTGTGTGAAATGCTGAAACAAATATCATCTTTTGCTCAATTGGGAAGAGTTTTCTGTGAGTGTCGAGGAGCAAGCTTCTGTTTTCCTGTTTTAGTATTGGATTTTTTCAAGGTTTTGCCAGTTTTAATGCAAGATTGACTGCCATCTGCTGGTTAGAGTTAGTAGGACAGCTAGTTTCTCAAAGGAAAGTGTTGTCACATGGAGCTCTAAAGAGAAAACTGAATGTCTGATGGTAAATCTTTCCACTGAGGTGTCACAAAAAAAATCTTTTAGATTTGTCCTAATGAGGGGTTTTACTATATAAATTTAAATATATAAAGCTGGTTATAATTTAACTTAATTTACTTCCCAAAGCAATTTTGTACTTCCATTTGGCTCTTGGTGAGTTCCTTTTTTTTGTTTTTGTTTCACCTCTTACTTTGGTCCGGTATTTCCAGAAGTACTAAAAGTAATTTCCCTTGATATTCAGGTTTAATTTTTATTGTAGTTCTTCATTGGTGTTTCATAGCGATGCACCCAAGTACCGTCCGGTCACCAGTATTGGATATAGAAACAGCTGATGATATAGAGCCAGATAAGTTCTGTCAGTTGTGAGGTGACCCAAGCTCATGCACCAAGATTGGTGGAAAAACAACAGGTTGGGATTTGGCAACATGCAAAAATTAAAGTAGAAATGTAAAATTGCAAAGTAGAGTTGTCACTTTAAAATAAATAAATAGAGGGCAGGGCAGTCCAAATTAAATGGTGACAATACAAAAATTACCATATAAAGCTTACTACAGTATATCATATTTAATAAATTTAATACATTTCATTTAAAGTTTATACTTTTTACCAAGTAAAAGGCCTTTTAGTATAATTGTAAAAATGTCCACCTTCAGGTTGTGGTACACGTCTTTCTGCTGTGAAATCTGGGCCCGTATTCACAAAGCAGTTTATCTTAGAGTTTTCTCTTAACCTGTTCACAAAGCTGCTGAGACACACTTTTACTGAGGAATAGAGAGAAGTCTTCAGCTCAGAGTAAGGGCAGGGTGGATGATGTCAGTGTGCTTATTAACTATGCACACAGTGATTGGCTGATAGTCTCTGTCAGAGATTTATTCATAGAAATATTGTAGAGCACGATATTGTTGCCATATTCAAATAAAGGTTTAAAAATAAAAATGTTAATAGTCACATTCAAATAAAGATTTATTTTTTAAGCAGACAGTCTACTAATACTCTAATGACTGCTAGTTGACATGTAGTTGGTTACTTGCTGTTAGTAGAATGTTTAAAGTGGACTACCAAAATAAAGTGTTACCAATTTATATTATATAAATATTTAATATATAAACACAACATTTTAAAAAAATATTTACATGGATGTGTGTGTATTTATATATACTTAATTTTACTGACTCCAAATCATGCCTTCAAGTAATGGACTCTTTAAAAACTGATCATCCTTTGATAGATTGTATTTTAACCAAAGTGGACCATCTACAGAATCAATTCTATAGTATTATGTTGGGCTTTCAGGAAATGAGCGAGCTGCAAAGGAGTAAACATGTCAAATTCCTCCCTCAGAGATCAGACCTATTATTAATCGTTACATATTAAATAAGTGGCGAGAAGAGTGGGATACATGTACAAATAATAAATTACATGAAATGCATCCGGAAATTTCAAACAGATTTTTAATCTCTTTTAAAGGGGTCATATGATGCTATTTTAAAGATCATTATTTGGTGTAACAGAATATACTGACATGCTTTAATGTTCAAAAAACACATTATTTTTCAAATACTGTACATTATTGTAGGTCCTCTATGCCCCGCCTCTCTCAAACACTTCGTTTTCTACAAAGCCCCTCCTTCCGACAAGCGCAGTCTGCTCTGATTGGTCAGCTGACCCAGTGCATTGTGATTGGCCGAACACCACAAGCACACGTCGGAAATGTAACACCCCTTACCATAATCGCTTCAGCTTTCAAAGTAAATATCAAGACAGTTAATAATGTCGTTAGTTTTACCATCAGTTCAAGTTATGATTTCTGACGGGCAGTTCACTCTCCTGTGATGTGACCCTGTTCCCCTCTCACACACACACACACACACACACACACGACGCGTTACTCTGCGCTGCGCAAAACTCCGCATTTGAACAGTCAATAGCAAATACTTAAACTAATAACAAAACATACTTACAGTCGCTGATTCAGAAGCACCAGATTATCATAGCAAAGTCGGAATTGACCCTTTTTTTTTTTTAGAAATAGCCTTTGTGCACAGCCAGCCTTGTACTCTAGGTTCAAAAAACTGTCGTCCATAAAATGCATTGCACAAGTTCGAACATCTGGGTTGTGCTGTTCTGTTGCAAATAAATCTCAACCAATGATTCCTAATTGCATCTACTTCCGGAAGGCCAAATAAAGTGCTTTTGCTTTCGCCTAGAAACACACAGCGTCTCCC